CTAGAACTGGCCAGCCAAATAGAATGTATACATGTAGCTATATCAAGAGACCGCAAAGAGTACATGAAATCTTTTTGTTTAAAAATCAGTTTGCAAACGCCAAAGCTAGCGCAAATTTGTGTTTATATTATAAAGACCAATTTAGCGGAAACTCTTGTGTTCAGAAAGATGCAGTCATCTTTTGCTGACAGGTTAAGAAGATGTAGTCATCTTTGCTTAATCAGTTGAACCTAAATTTTTATAATATAATAACACATCCTATTATGCATGAATCAGTGTATATGATATTGCAGTTGCAGCTACATACGGTAGCTATATATTTTTAGGTCTGTATTATCATAGTTATAATCCAACAAGCCTTATTTCTGCGCGAATTGCACTGACTAGAACTGGCCATGCAGCCAAATAGAATGTATAGCTATATCAAGAGAACGCAAACAGTACACGAAGTCTTTTTGTTTTAAAATCAGTTTGCAAACATCAATGAAAGCTAGCGCAAATTTGTGTTTATATTATAAAGACCAATTTAGTGGAAACTCTTGTGTTCAGAAAGATGCAGTCATCTTTTGCTGACAGGTTAAGAAGATGTAGTCATCTTTGCTTAATCAGTTGAACCTAAATTTTTATAATATAATAACACATCCTATTATGAATGAATCATTGTATGCGATATTGCAGTTGCAGCTACATACGGTAGCTATATATTTTTAGGTCTGTATTATCATAGTTATAATCCAACAAGCCTTATTTCTGCGCGAATTGCACTGACTAGAACTGGCCATGCAGCCAAATAGAATGTATAGCTATATCAAGAGAACGCAAACAGTACACGAAGTCTTTTTGTTTTAAAATCAGTTTGCAAACATCAATGAAAGCTAGCGCAAATTTGTGTTTATATTATAAAGACCAATTTAGTGGAAACTCTTGTGTTCAGAAAGATGCAGTCATCTTTTGCTGACAGGTTAAGAAGATGTAGTCATCTTTGCTTAATCAGTTGAACCTAATTCTTTATAATATAATAACACATCCTATATTATGCATGAATCAAATGTTGCATGTAGGCTATATGAAATTGCGGTTGCAGCTATACATACGGTAGCTATTACATCCTGTATTATCATAGTTATAATTCGACAAGTCTTATTTCTGCGCGAATTTACTGACTAGAACTGGCCAGCCAAATAGAATGTATAGCTAAATCAAGAGACCGCAAACATGCAGTACACGAAATCTTTTTGTTTTAAAAGCAGTATGCAAACGCCAAAGCTAGCGCAAATTTGTGTTTATATTATAAAGACCAATTTAGGGGAGACTCTTGTGTTCAGAAAGATGCAATCATCTTTTGCTGACAGGTTAAGAAGATGTAGTCATCTTTGCTTAATCAGTTGAATCTAAATTTTTATAATGAAAACACATTCCGGTATGCCACGTACGAGTTCTATGCATATGGCATTGGTATATATGCAGATATTCATAACTCATTAAGCCTTTCTGCGCGAGTTGCAACTACATGTCATGGCTATTTTCATTTAGAATCTAACCAAATAAAACATATATGGGATATAGCTGAATACCCTCGCGTGTACAGGCTTCTGTAAGCAAATGTAAGCAATTGTATTGCATTTCACGCGATTTTACAAGACTAGTAACTTATTTTTAAATATTGAACTAAACGCCACATGCTAATTTTCATATACCCACTGCGAACAGAACCAGATTGATGACAGCTTTGCCTATTAATTTTATTGGGATTAGACATAATTGCATCCGGCGAACTGCACAAATTTTGTGCAGTTGACACCTTTTTTCGGCCGTGCGGATTCTCATGCTGTGGCACTGCGCCCGTCCGTATTGAAGTCTCAGCGGATTCATAATTATATACATTATACTCTAGCGCAAATTTTACAAAAAAAGGCAAATGCAACAAAGTTAAATTTTATTCAATCACTATTTTTCATTATTTTGCAACTTTTCCCATCCAGTTTTTCTCCTTCATTGAAATTTTTTGAAGGTAAATACTTCAATTATTGACAATATTCAAGTTTCATAGAATTTATAGCTACGACTTTTATAAATATACAACGTTATTGAACGTTCACTTTATAGATTAAACTAATGTCTGATCATTGTGGAGACACTGAAGAGATATTTTCAACATCCAACAGCTTGGACTTAGCCAGAGAGGTAAGAAAAGAAAAACCTTATGAGTGCGATGTTTGTGGGAAGTCTGGGAAGAGGTGTTCCAAAAAAGGAAACTTAACTAGCTAAACTATTAAAGGACAATGGCAACAAATTTTTTTATTGTCTATATTAAAAGTGTTGCTTCATCTAAGGCCATGGGAATGAAAGTCATAGATTTGCGTCCACCGCCCGCATGCCTCAAAAGCTACCGCCTAAAATTTTCATTATTTACAAAAAAAAATTCATTATTTTCACAAATAAAGCAAAACTCAACAAAATTAGCAATAAAATTGTCTATTGATTACAATAAAATGAACATATTGCAGTGTGTTTGTCCTCAGTATCCACATTCTATGAAATTCCAAATTATATTCACCGAAATGGCGAAATTGGCACACAGATCTTCAGTACTGCAACTGCGTGAGCTCGAGATATATGTAATTCCGTGGCGTAAACGGTAATTCGTGTTTTGATCTCTGTATTTACCACCCAAAAGGATGGTAAAAAAATAATGAATAATGAATAATGAAAAAAACCCGCATGTTTTTTCAAAATTATCCGGACGCAAATCTATGACTTTCATTCCCATGGCCTAACTATGAATATGATGTTAATACCATGTCAAACATTTTTGTTCCGGAATTATAAGCATGTTATTTCACTGTTAAATTATATATGGTCCGCCATCTTGGCTCGTATTTGCGAAAAATTATCTTTTGGGTAACATGACCCGTATGACGTAGATGGCAGGGTAGAATCAAAACAACTATATATTTTTGTATAGCGTGTATCGAGAGATTTAATACGTTTTCTCAAAAAATTAATGCTTTTGAGTCATTTCAATGGAAAAAGTAGGGGAGTGTTATCATACCGATATGAACCAAAAGTAGGACAAAAACAAGCAATATTTTAATTTGGGGATAGGTATAAATATAGGACTTCTACATGCGTCTTGGACCTTTGGTTTGTGGTTTACATATAATAATTTATTTAATGGCTTTCTTTTATTTTCAACGGGGTATTGAAAGTACACCATGCCGTTAAATATTGTATATTAGGTGCACGCATACATGCGTGCGCTGTTTTGTGTCTTTTTATGTCAACCATTGTAGAAATAGTATACCGCAATTGAAGCTATAGTATGTACTGTAAGTAAAGTTATTACTTGGCAACGCTTCCCTTTTCAATTGTATTCTAAACATTTCATTGCGCTGTATTCGTTTTAAAAACTTTGGCGACTGTTCATACGCGTCTTCGGTCTTGTTCATACGCGTCTTCGGCAAAATGAAGTGAGCATATATTCTAGTGCACGACGATCATAGACGACGATGGTTTAAATGCTTTGCGCTTACAGAATTCAATCCACGTGTTTCTCCTATATTGCTGATCTACCGATTTGCCCGTTGGAAAATTGAAGAAACGAATTTCACCTGTTTGTTATGGCTGTCACTATTACAACCGTAGACGGTACATGTTTTGCAGTGGACCTTACGTTTTACATGAACAATCTTGATCTTTTCGTTATTCAAATCGTAGGCTACTCGGAGCTTACTAATATTTGCAATTTCGGTTATATACTGTATATAGTATAATGTCCCACACGTGAATTTAGGGTATTTTACATAATACAATGAAAATATTGATAATATGGGAACTACTGCACTACATGCATATATTTACCTATATAAAATGACAACTAAGTAAAACTACATGTAAAAATACATCACAACATATAACCAGATTATAGTTATTTTACACTATCTCTATAATCTCTTGGCTGGGAAAATCCCATACTGACCTTGAATGTCAATTTACTAATTGGCGCAATGTCTAACTTGTACGACACTACACATTACAGAAGAAGCAAATCTTGTTTGTGAGATAACAGCTATTTCACGAGCAATGTCGTTTGAAAGCCTACTCAGTTTTGAAAGCAATTATTATATATAGTTGTGAAATCTGAAGCTAAATTAATATATTATGTTGCCGACATGCATTACATGATTAAGTACCTGTCATGATTTCGATTCAGCCTTGTATAAAATTTGTGCAGTCAATGTTTTTCAAAGGTTTTCAAATTTAACGGCCAGTGAATTCTGGCACGAGATTTTAAAATGCTTTGTCTACGGCTGGTACGTGGGCCTTGTGGTTACGATTATCCACTGCAGCCTTGTTGCAGTTCCGCAAGTTGGTTGAATTATTTTTGTATTAATAATATTTGGGCTAGTGTTCCAAAGGTCGTAGGTTCGAATCCCACCGTGGCCGGGCATATTTTTCAAGCTCACCCGGTGTGGATATACACTCAGAGTAACATCACAAATATAATAATAACAACACTTTGAAACACTAAATACTCAGTAGAATCTTTTGTTCCAATGCAAATTATTTCTATATTTCTGCAACAGAGCTTGCACATACATAAATGTATATGCTATACATATGTACATACATTTGGAATACATGACATGTAATTGGAACAGCAGAATTACCATAACCGGAGTCAATGTCTAAGCGCATTTTACAATGCAAACATACGCTTTACTGTCGAAAACACAGTCACAGACCATTGGTAGTAAGCTGCTACACATTATTGAACTATTAATACACGTTATGATGTAAGTGTAATTTTTTTGTAAACATTTTCTTCCAAATCTCAACGTTGTTCAGTGTAACTTAATATACTGTGGGATTTGCGTTTACCCTGCCATTTACGTCACAAAATGTATTCATGCATAAATTAGCATACGCGGAATTTTCCCAAGATGGCGGACGACTGTTAAAATTTGTTAAACATTTTCGCAAATTATCTGAAGAACTAAATGCAATGGACAAACAAAAATGTGAAATTAAGTATTCCATTAGTAAGCTTAATAAATACAGACAATAAAAAAATTTGTTGCCATTGTCCTTTAACTCCGCTAATATGGTATAAAGATTGAAAGACATAAAAGAATACACACAGGAGAGAAACCCTATGAATGCGACGTTTGTAAGAGGAGATTTTACAAAATTAGTAATATTCCAAAGTTTCGTTGCTAAATGTTGTAAAATGCTGATAATATAGCCTTACGAAGTTTGCCATTTTTCAGTCATTTTCTATTACAAACTGGAAATTGACAGCCAAGGTCTTAGCTCGAGGGCCGTGTTGGCTATGTTATCACGGCCAAAAATGGAAAAACATGGCTAAATGCGGCTTCATTATTTATATAAAGCTGTGTAGGTTCATAAAATAAGATACTTAGACAGAATTTCTTTCTATTTACGTCATAAGAAATTTTGTAAAATCTATTGTTGTTGAAATTAGCAAAACTGATTTGTGATGTTTTAATGTTTTGATGGATAATGGGAACCGTATGGTGTTAAAAGTGGTTTTAAGTTTTAAATACCCCCAAGAGTTGCTGAAAAAACTTAATATTTTAATTTGGCTATGCAGGGTGATTGACATGTGCACACCCTGGTCATTTAGAAACACGCTCAAGATCTAAAATCCTAGCTAAGACCCTGTTGACAGTTCCAAAGGGTATTGGGCTGTCAATTTCCCCCACTTAATGCAAAATGACTGAAAAACGGCAAACTTTGCACAGCTACAGTATATTATCCGCATTTTACAACATTCCGCAACGAAACTTTGGAATATTACTAATTTTGTGATGCTCGTTCAAACTGTGATGAAATTTTTGTCTAGACTTGTTTAGATCAAAATTTAGTCTATAATGCGAATGGTCCATTTAGTAAGACATAAACGAAAACACACTGGAGATCAACTTTATGCATGTGATGTAACTGATGTTTGCATACCCGTATGACGTCATAATTGTAAAGCGGGAATATTGCTCTTTATTGCATATTATCTGGCTCTAACTCAGTTAAGAGATCTTGTATCAAGAAATTTTAGGGTCTTCGTTGCTAAAGTTGGGGGCTCCTTTTGAGCTGGGGATCCGGGACAATGTGTCTGCCCCCTCTCTCGGCGACCCTGATAACTGATTAGATAAATTAGCGAGTCATAAGAAAACACACAATGAAGCCCATAGATCTACAGTATGTGAAAGTGATGTTTTGCAAAAAGTGATTGTAACTATGAACACGTGGAACGGCATATTTTCAACACACTACAGACAAGCAATGAATTATATACTTTAAATGTTTTATCAAAAAAACGTTCTCCTTTTGGAGCTTTGTAATATCTAAGGATATAATCTTTAGTATTATTCTTTCCACGTTTAAATCTGTATTAAATATTAATTAACAATTATTCGCCGAAGGCGAGGTGATTATCGGTGAATAAAAACCGAGACGAAGTCGAGGTTTTTATTCACGATAATCACCGAGCCTGAGGTGAATAATTGTTTTAGTATAATTTCATAGGTGATTATTTGGGAAAAAAAAAAAATGCACATTTATTCGTCTTTTAATTGACAAAACGGCTTCGGCCGCCATTTTGAAAATCGCTTAGGTGATTATCGCGTAATAATCACCTCAACGGGAACCAATCAGCGTGGAGAATTTTCAATAATCACCTATGTAATTATACTAATAATTAATATTGATTGTTAATGTTACATAAATATAAGGTAAAACACATTTTAGCTTTGTTTCATCTTGGGTTTGCAAGCTGACTTTTATAAATATACAACGTTATTGAACGTTCACTTTATAGGTTAAACTAATGTCTGATCATTGTGAAGACACTGAAGAGGTATTTTCAACATCCAACAACTTCGACTTAGCCAGAGAGGTAAGAAAAGAAAAACCTTATGAATGTGATGTTTGTGGGAAGAGGTGTTCCAAAAAAGGAAACTTAACTAGACATAAGCAAACACATGAGAAACCTTTGTTTGAGTGTGATATTTGCAAGAAGACGTTTCCTCGATTAGCTCGTTTAAACATACATACAAGATCACACACTGGCGAAAAACCTTACGAATGTGATGTTTGCAACAAGAGATTTCCCATCTCGGCTAATATGGTACGACATAAAAGAATACACACAGGAGACAAACCCTATGAATGCGACGTTTGTAAGAGGAGATTTTCTCAGGCAACTGATTTGGTGAGGCATAAACGAACACACACTGGGGAGAAACCTTACGAATGTGATATTTGCAAGAAGAAGTTTGCCCAGCCTGGCTACTTAGTAATACATACCAGAATACACACTGGAGACAAACCTTATGAATGTGATGTTTGTACCAAGAAATTTTCCCACTCAAGCCAGTTAGCACAACATAAACGAATTCACACTGGAGACAAACCTTATGAATGTGATGTTTGTACCAAGAAATTTTCCCACTCAAGCCAGTTACCACAACATAAACGAATTCACACTGGAGACAATCGTTTATATGAATGTGACCTCTGCAACAAGAGGTTTTGTACATCAGAAAATTTAGAAACGCATAAAAGAGCGCACCCTGAGGCCCAACCTTATGAATGTGATGTTTGTAAGAAGAGATGTTCTTCTTCGCACAATTTAGCAATACATAGAAGAACACATACCGGGGAACAACCTTACGAATGTGATGTTTGCAACAAGAGATTTTCTCAACCGAGCAATTTAATAAGACATAAAAAAACACACACCGGAGAGAAACCCTATGAATGTGATGTTTGTTACAAGAGATTTTCTCAGGCAACTGATTTGGTGAGGCATAAACGAATTCACACTGGGGAGAAACCCTATGAATGTGATGTATGCCAAAAGAAATTTTGTCACCCAGCAAGTTTACCAAAACACAAAAGAACACACACTGGAGACCAATGTTATGAATGTGAAGTTTGTACAAAGAAATTTTCCCAGCCAGGAAACTTAGCAAAACATAAAAAAGACAAGCATTGCTTTGAATGTAATGTTTGCAAGGAGACATTTTCTCAGTCCACTGATTTAGTAATGCACGAGGCATTACATTTGACAACACAAATTATATCTGAGGATTCTACAGAGCTGTTTCCAACATCAAGCAACTTTGACTTTACACAAAATCAAGAAACACCCAATGCTTATGAATGTAATGTTTGCAAAGAGCAATTTTGTCAGTTAAGTGATTTGGAAATGCATAAAACATTACATTTAGCAACACAAATTGTATCTGATGATTATGTGGAATTGTGTTCAGCATCGAGTGACTTTGCACAAAATGAAGGAACACTCAATGCTTATGAATGTGACATTTGCAAGGAAAAGTTTTGTCATTTAAATGATTTAGAAATGCATAAAGCGTTACATTTAACAACACCAATTACATCTAACAATTGTGCAGAGTCGTTTTTGACATCCAGCAACCAAGACTTTGCACAAGAAGGAACACACAATTCTTATGAATGTGATGCTTGCAAGATGACGTTTTCCCAATCAGAACATTTAGAGAATCATAAGAGAACACACACTGTAGACAAACCTTATGGAAGTGATGTTTGCAATGAAAGATGTTCTCAGTCAGCCGATTTAGGAACACATGAAACATCGCATTTAACAACAGAAAGTCAGCCTGACCTTTGTGAAGATATGTTTTCAACTGAGAGCAGCTTGGACTCAACAAGAGAAGAAACAGTATTCAAACCTTTCGAATGCGATGATTGCAAGATGAAATTTTCCCAGTTAGAAAATTTGGAGAAACATAAGAGAACACACATTGTAGACAAACCTTATGAATGTGATGTTTGTAAGAAGAGGTGTTCCAAAAAAGGAAACTTAACTAGACATAAACAAACACATGAGAAACCTTTGTTTGAGTGTGATATTTGCAAGAAGACGTTTCCTCGTTTAGCTCGTTTAAACATACATACAAGATCACACACTGGCGAAAAACCTTACGAATGTGATGTTTGCAACAAGAGATTTCCCATCTCGGCTAATATGGTACGACATAAAAGAATACACACAGGAGAGAAACCCTATGAATGCGACGTTTGTAAGAGGAGATTTTCTCAGGCAACTGATTTGGGGAGGCATAAACGAACACATACTGGGGAGAAACCTTATGAATGTGATATTTGCAAGAAGAAGTTTGCCCAGCCTGGCTACTTAGTAATACATACCAGAATACACACTGGAGACAAACCTTATGAATGCGATGTTTGTACCAAAAAATTTTGCCACTCAAGCCAGTTAGCACAACATAAACGAATTCACACTGGAGACAATCGTTTATATGAATGTGACCTCTGCAACAAGAGGTTTTGTACATCAGAAAATTTAGAAACGCATAAAAGAGCGCACCCTGAGGCCCAACCTTATGAATGTGATGTTTGTAAGAAGAGATGTTCTTCTTCGCACAATTTAGCAATACATAGAAGAACACATACCGGGGAACAACCTTACGAATGTGATGTTTGCAACAAGAGATTTTCTCAACCGAGCAATTTAGTAAGACATAAAAAAACACACACCGGAGAGAAACCCTATGAATGTGATGTTTGTTACAAGAGATTTTCTCAGGCAACTGATTTGGTGAGGCATAAACGAATTCACACTGGGGAGAAACCCTATGAATGTGATGTATGCCAAAAGAAATTTTGTCACCCAGCAAGTTTACCAAAACACAAAAGAACACACACTGGAGACAAACATGAATGTGAGTTTGTACAAAGAAATTTTCCCAGCCAGGAAACTTAGTAAATTATACCTGATGACTCTGCAGAGCTGTTTTCAACATCAAGCAACTTTGACTTTTACAAGGAAACACACCCATACCGGCAAGTTAGTAATGCATAGAAGAGTACATACAGCTAATTGCATTAAGATGTCCTCCAATTGACATTAATATATTCATTAGCGTTCCCAACGGACTCATTTACTCAAGCTTGCCTTTCTGGTTACGCTTTTTTCACGTATAATGAATATGCGAGATGAATGTTTTATTCATAAGACCGTACTTTTCGTGCTTGGCTTTTATACTTTTTAGCTTTGTCGGCGGACAACCTTAATGCAATTTATAGCTGTACTCTATACTGGTGACCAACCTTATTAAAGTGATGTTCGTAAAATGAGATTTTTTTAATCAAGCAATGGCCATTTGCATTAGACTAAATTTTGATCTAAACAAGTCTAGACAAAAATTTAATCACAGCTTGAAAGAGCATCACAAAATTAGTAATATTCCAAAGTTTCGTTATGACTGAAAAACGGCAAACTTCGCAAGGCTGTATTATCGGCATTTTACAACATTTCGCAACGAAACTTTGGAATATTACTAATTTTGTGATCATATTACTAATTTTGTGAAAATCCTAGCTAAGACCCTGTTGACAGCTCCAAAGGGTATTGGGCTGTCAATTTCCCCACGTAATGCAAAATGACTGAAAAACGGCAAATTTCGCAAGGCTACTACATTATCCGCATTTTACAACATTTCGCAACGAAACTTTGGAATATTACTAATTTTGTGATGCTCGTTCAAGCTGTGATTAAATTTTTGTCTAGACTTGTTTAGATCAAAATTTAGTCTATAATGCAAATGGTCCATTTAGTAAGACATAAACGAAAACACACTGGAGATCAACTTTATGCATGTGATGTAACTGATGAGGCCCTGTTAGGGGGGTCTGAATAATCCATAATCCTAGCAAGAATTTAAAAATAATCCGTATCCCATTTCTATAAACAAAAATATCCCTTTAATAATTTAAAGAAATGTGAACATTAAAGGTGATCTACAGTCCGATCTGCGCATGTGCACAAATGAGCCCACTTTTTATGATGCAAACAGTTTAACTATGTTTTGAGTTCTTGAAAAGCCTGATTGTTGTTTCTTGATCATTTATTATACTCTAGAAGCTTGAAAATATAAATAGTTGTCGAGTAAAGCTCAATATTTTGGACACAAAAAATGTAAACAAAGGCTTTGTTTACATACGGAATGTAGATCACCTTTAAAATTATTCCACACGAGATCAAGTGACACTCGAGTGATTCATGCATGTGATTCATGCATGTCACATACACCGTAAAAACGCACAAGTTGTAACAAACCTGCAGCAGCCTTAAGTAGCAATGCTGTCAATAGGATGTGTTCACACTGCTTGTTCCCAGCTTGTTGACAAGTTGTCAACGGCTTGTTGACAACTTGCTAGAAGGTTGTTGAGCTCAACAGACTTGTTACAAGTTGTTTCAACAACCTGATATCAACAATTTCTCAACAAGTTGTGAGTGACAACCAGTGGCGTGCTGGCAGGGGAGGCCGGAGGGACCACGCCCCCCCCAGCTGGCAATTCTTGGGGGGCGCCGATCCCGTGCGGAATTTTGAAAGTGGGTGGGAAAAACACATTTGAAAAAATATAGTTACTTCGGCCAAGAAAAGATGTGTTTATATGCTTATAAACAGACTAATATATTAAACAGACTGATATATTAAATTACAGAATATTTTGTCTAACCGTATTTGCTAATTTACTACTTCACGGCTCACACAAAATCGTTCATAAAGAAACATGATCAGTGATCGCACGCAATGTCTTATTACCGGAATATTGGTCAGGTTTCAAGGCGATAATGGGAATTATGCCCTTTTTTGCTGGTATTATGCCCTTATATTGTGTCCTTTATTTGCTTCACGAATCACGAGAGCAGCCCAAATTAGATAGTTATGATAATGTAAAGTTGTGTAGTTGTTTGTGCAAGAAACATTATGACTCATGAGTAATGTAAGTAATAAGATAATGCTGAAACGCGCCCTTTTGGCAGCCAAGCAAGGTAACCTTAAAATGCATATGTGTGAGGTCCTTGTGTCATTGTATAAAATAGCTGTAAGTTGTAAATGTATTCTGATCACTAGATCAGTAGAGAATAGAATTGGGAGTAGATTAATCGCTGGAATTAGTTTGCATTGCCCAATTTAAGTACTACTACTAAATTCTAACCAAATTGCAAATTTCAACACGTATTATATAATGCCGTTTCCTGACCATCAGATTTCTGTTAAACCTTCCCCCCAAATCTAGGAAATGACACTTCAGGGATCCTAAATTCAAAAATTTTCCGAGGGGGCATGCCCCCGGACACCCCTATAGAGAAACCTCGTACCTGCTGCGCTCGCGGCTTGTGCCCTCGGTCCTCGTTTATCAAGCGTTGCAATATATAGGGGTGCATAATAGTTGATAGCCCACTGCCGCCCCCCCCCCCAGAAAAATAGTACCCAGCACTCCACTGGTGACAACCTTGTAGCAACTTGATAAAATAACAGCATTGTTACAACTTGTAGACACATCTTGTTGACAAGTTGTGAGATTTTTACGTGTGTACGTGTTTGGGCGAAGATCGCATGTGTTCCATCTCAAAGTGTGAAATGGCGTCTCCAGATAATGAAGATATTGATATTGACTGGCATCTTATGACCTCTTACAAACTGCAAATTGTATTTCTTGTTTTTATTTTCAATAGCAAAAATAGATGATCTTTGCATATCAATAATCCTAAAATCCTATCCAAATAATACATAATTTTTTTTTTAACCAGCAATAATCCGTAATCCTACCCAAAAATGCCAAATAATCCGTAATCCTAAAACCCTAACAGGGCCTCACTGATGTTTGCATTAAGGGATTTTCTCAATCACATGCAGGGCGGCCGAGAGGCTGCACATGCCTGGGCACCACTTTCCCAGGGCACCCAGTATGACGTCATAATTGTAAAGCGGGAATATTGCTCTCTATTGCATATTATCCAACTCTAACTCAGTTAAGAGATCTTGTATCAAAACGTTTTAGGGTCTTCGTTGCTTTGGGAGCTCCTTTTGACCTGGGGATCCGGGACAATGTGTCTGCCCCCTCTCTCGGCGACGCTGATAACTGATTAGATAAATTAGCGAGTCATAAGAAAACACACAATGAAGCCCTTCTACAGTATGTGAAAGTGATGTTTTGCAAGAAGTGATTGTAACTATCAACGCGTGAAACGGCATATTTTCAACACACTAGAGACAAGTAATGAATTACAGTATTTACTTTAAATGTTTTATCAAAAAGACGTTCTCCTTTTAAGGAGCTTTGTAATATCTAAAGATATAACCTTTAGTATTCTTCTTTCCACGTTTAAATCTGTATTAAATATTAATAATTAATATTGATTGTTAATGTTATATAAATATAAGGTAAAACACATTTTTGCTTTGTTTCATCTTGGGTTAGCAAGCTGACTCCATTCCTAACGCTGTGGCTATGCGTTAAATTTTATGCATGATTTAGGCCCGGGTCAAACGTCTATTGCGGCGAATCTAATAACTGTATTTAATGGCTACATAAGAGCGACGTTTGATTAGGTTAAGTTCCAAATGCCTTTCTCGCACGTAATCGAGCGATGGAGGCATGGGAGCGACATGTCCAGTGTCGCACTATCCGACTTTGGGACGACAGCTGTTCAAACGAGGAAGGAGGAGGAAAAATTTTGCATTTTTGTGTTCAACCAAATCCATTTCGATACGACACTAGAGCGACGTTTGAGCGGTGTCAAATCAAACGTTGAACATATGTCGTTCGCGATGTAAATCATGGATTAACATATAGATACGTAAAATGACATATAATATAGATTGAAATAATCGATCCATCTGGTTCGGTGGATGAGAAGAGCGGGAGCACATAAATTTGTCCGACGTTTCTAAAAATTTCTGACCAACACAAATTGTTCCCAAAATATGTGTCACCAGTAAGTCATGCATTCTGCCGGATTTTAAGGTACAATTTGCCCGACTTCTCACTACAAAATACCATGGCTGCAGACCCCCACCCCATCTTCTACGCCTATGGTTCGGCGCATGAAATGAACGACATTCGACCCGGGCCTTAGTTGTAGTTGCTGTAATGATGGTTCGAAACAGTGTTAAAACTTGTTTAATTCAGGTTGAAACCAAGCGTTGCTCCATGTAAATGAAGGGATTATTCGCCATTATATTTACGCGATTCCCCCGACCTGGAAATGATGTAGCGAGAGCCCCATGATGTAGTCGCATCCGCTCTTTGTGTCACACAAGCTGCTGCTTGCTTCAAAGTTGCTTGCACAGAACATTCCATTCCCGATTGTTTTACACAACACAACGCACGTTGTGTCGCGGCGATTGGCAAATATAAGAAGCGGTTGTGAGGAAGACTATACCCAAGAAAAAAACAGCGTTTTTAGTATGTGGAAATTTAGAATTCAGTAGTACTAAATGGACGAAGGTGTATTTAATTAACGATATATTGGATAAGTTGCAGGAAAGTATGGGTAATATCTTCATTCTTTGCAGTTTGTCATGGATTAAATAAT